GTGGCGGCAAGCAACCAAGGATCACATCACATCAAAGATGTATGTCACACAAACACAAAAGGGCGATTCACCACCATCCCTTTGCGCGATTCACCACCGTCCCTGCGACGAAATCGCAGGCATCGCATGTCCAAACCGCAATCTTGTCAGTGGCCTGGAAAGAGAAAACCCTTCTCAACTGAAAATAGACCATTGGAATCCATTGGACATCTCTGCGCCATCACATGCGGTGAAACACAGCACGAGGCAAAGGAGAGGAGAGCCTACAAATACAAGGCTCATACCAGCACCCTCCTGGCCAGGTTTCCTGGTGACAAGTCCGGTGCCTGGTGAAACCTGTTTTGCCAAAACAGCCTCCAACAGGCTGGGCCGTGGCTGTTTGAAGGACTCTTGAACTGGGGCTCCCGGCTCCATGTCCCTCTGGACTGCTGGCGGTGTCCTTTTCGTGGTCTTCGTCAGCTCGAGGTCCTTCGCACCTCGAACGAACCACCGACATCCACCACCGACACCAGGAGGTCAGTGGCACCAGGAGGTCAGTGGTCAGGTTGACCTAACTGGGCCTGGTGTTGGGGCTCCACGTCCTGACCCACTCCCACTTGTGACCCACACAGCTGATCCTCACAGCTGCGGCTCCCACGCATAGCACTGCGCGCAGCCCGAGACCGAGAGATTCCATGCGAGCCTGACTCTCCGGCTGAATGGTCAAGACACAGATCCGACTATTTAGCCAGCCTCGGCACAAGCTACTAGCGTAATCACGTGGCAACACTCTGGAGTTGCCATAAAACACAAAACTACTGCCTGTACCCGTTGGCCCGTGAAAACCACATGCAAGCTTTCTTCCTCATCCGTCGCAAAGACTATTTCCGGAAACGTGATGCTTGTTCCGGAACTCACATCCCAACGTTGAGTGCTTTGTGTTCGGAATGCAAATCCCTTTTGACTTTCGACAGACACCGGCTTATGATGCTTGCGACGATGATTCTCATTCCCTCACTCTAAAAGAAAGCTTCACCATTCTTCCACCAATGTGGAGGTGTCCAGGCGCTCCGAACTCTGCTTTAAAGATAAACATGCAAATGATCCACGTACTTGCCGTGTAGGCATGCGGCTTATCTATCTCCTCGCCCACGCCTGCCAGGAAGCACGCGGCCACCTCAAGACCTACGCACCGAGTCGGGCGACTGAAAAACGGTACCCCTGCCTTCAACGGCCCCCCAACGGGTCACGTGGACTGTCGGGTGAGGGTGGGGGTCACTTGGAATTCCGCCCCAAAAAAACACACATCGTTCCCCTGAATTCCAGTGTGAAAGTGCAACGAACCTAGGCTTGGTCACCCTATAGTGAAACGTGTTTGTTGATGTGGGTCACCCTGAAATTCCAGGCTTAAGGTCATTGTTCAGCGACCTTTTGCTGCACAATTTTTCATATTAGGGTGCTGCAAGCAAAGTGTTTAAAAAGTGAAACACACGCACTCACACTGCAACAAAGCATCCTCATGCATTTAGAAGAGATCATTCATTCTCCGTTCCTCAGATTCACCTCGTTATCATCGCCATTAATGGCCTATGTCGTTGTGATTCGCAGAATGAATCCCTGCCTTCACTGACTCCCGAGCCAAAGATCCCTGCATAGGTTTGCAGTAACCTTCCACATCCTTCGCTTCGTTTTGAGTGAATCATTCGTTTCTCCCCAGGCGGTCGACGGTCGCTGACCATCGCGGTCGATCGCTCGCCAGCGCTCGCCTCGTCCACGAGGGCGTCTCGAAGGTGGATCCTCTCGGAAGGTCACACGGACGGCCCGAAGAGGACCACGGCTGGAGGCGCTGGCCTAGGAGAACCCGACATCGGATGAAGGAAGGACAGCTGGAATTGCTAAGACGATTTGGAGTGCTGGTGCAGTATGGAATACAATTGGCGAAGGCCCTTGACACTTCGGAATGCCTCTAAGATCTGTGACCATCTGTGACCAACGAACGATTATACATCTCGTGCTACTAGGCGTACTATGGAGAAGGACGGGCAAGGTGCATGTAACCTTTGTGTGTGTGTGTGTGTGCTGGGGAGGGGGATTGCCTGGTTCACAATATCGGGGTATGATTCTTGTTCTGCAGGGGCTATGCAACTTAGCATTTGATGCGGCTCAACCTTCGAGATGACACAAGAATGCATAATAGAATGCGATGACTCTTGCTCAACAAAAACGCCGGGCAAAACAACTAACCAAACATGACAAACTATGACACACTGTCATCTCTCTGCAACACAGGTAGTTCTTCAAACTGTAAGCCAGTGATGCAACACACGTCTCTAGAATCACCGCCGGTGTGGGTGGAACTGTAGCCGCATGAGGCGGGCCAAATCCATACATGGTTTCTAGGAATCTGCCCGGCTAGTGACAAAGGAATTGTGCTGCACTACGCCTATATAAGTTGTCAGATGTCATCAGTACCTGAGCTTACAAAATGCCATGGAATAGCTGACAAAGGAGGACATAGGAGTTATGGACCCTCTGCTCCAAGGCAAAGGCAGTGGTGCAATGATATTGAGTTTATATAATATCTCCTGCACACGGAAAAATCTAATTGCCACATGTTTTGTTATTTTGTGACATGGTCCTGTGTCATGCGGTTTACAGTAATGTAAGATACCTCTTGAACAGATTCGCATGTCTGTCCATTTGTAGCCCATGATTTACACATAGTTGACAATTAGCCCATTGACGCCCCGCTATGATCATTCTCGAGGTCTTCAGCACAGGATATCACTTGTTTCACTCTCAAACACTTGTTTGACACTCTGGGACCACCGGCTGAGGGCTGTTGCCACGCGGTGAAGCAGGGCAACAAGCCTGCTCAAACATTCGCACTGGGCATATTGGACCGAGCTAAGGCTAAGGCCCTGCTAACAGCAGAATGTATTGAATCTATTCCAAGGCAACGGAAGGATGAGCATCAAGGAAACAACTTTTGTCCATCGTCCTGCGATCACAAAGCTCTCAAGAGCAAGAAGAGAATGGATCACCGCTTCAATACCAGCTCAAAGAAATAAATCCACAAATCAAACCTTGCTACTCAAGTTTATTGGGCAAATCAACAGGCAACAACTCTTGAATCTACAGTATATTAGGCAAATCTATGATCAGTTGACCAACAAACGACTGCCCCCCACTGCCCTGCGTGGCAAGCGCCGCAAAAAGAGGAGGGGTCCGAACCAAAGCGCAATGGATTGGTTTAAGGGGAGCATCTACAGGACACATCAGGAAACCATGGTTTGAACCCCTCCAAATGATGGGTTTCCTGCACATCGGTCCCTTCAACCAAAGCGCCACTCCACGGTCAGCCCGGGCACTCCACGGCCTCCCTCCGCCATTGAGAACTGCCCCTGTCCCATGTAGGCCACACTGATAGAAGACGTGGTTGACGAACTGCCAAAAAAGTACGACTTACTGTTGACATCTCCAAGATTGTGCCACTTGCCACTTTTTCCTGCTCTTCGTCATTCATCTCCTATCCTCTTAGCAACGTAACAAATTGGCCTCTTTGAGCTCCTTGGGATGATCTCGTGCACAGATTGTGTCTTTTGTTCCATTTTCCATATGACTTGAAACAGCTGCGGAACATGCCAGCTGTTTTGCATGCGTTTGTTTGTGTGTGTGTCCACCCCTGGACAAAGGGTTTCGTCCAACTGATCCACC